CTGCAAAATTTTGGAACCAGGCAACGCCATATAGATCTTGCAGGACTTCAGCCTGTCTCAAGAATCGTTCCTTGAAATGCATCAAGTTTTCGGTTGTTCCTTGCTTCATAGCAAAGAACTTTTGATTGGCTTCCCAGAAATCTAAGAAGTCATACTCAGCATCAGCACTCTTCTTCATGAATCGTTCAATACGTTTCAAGAGTTTGATTGGATCTTCAAGAGTAGTCGTGAAATCGGCTTCACCTCGAAGCTTGATATCCATCGCTTTTGTTACAAACTTAAGCATGATGTTTGATTTGACAGTTTGCTTGTTCGTTTTGAAGTAGGCTGATCTTTGCATGTTCTTGTCGAGCTTTGCGGAATAGAGAATCTTGTTTTGAGCCATCTCTGTTTCTCTTGCAACAGCTTCAGTTTGAGTTGGAGCATTCAATGTTGGAGCGATCGCATAGAAGTCGATCGACTTTCCATCTCAAATTGATTTCACCATGTCTTCGGACTACTTCATTCCAGAAGCTTGGATGTAGTCAATCACTCTTTCTTCGGCATCTTCGTACGACGATCTTGCTTTTCCATCGTTTTCATCTTTTGCTGAAAATAGATGTTTCACAACTGTTGAACTTGAATTGCTCTTGACTTTCTGAGGAGTCATACTTCCTCTTCCTCCACCAGATGAAGAACGTCCCATAGTCAACGAATCACTCACTCCTTTGTAGATAAAGCAGTGCTGTTCTTGACGTATTTTCTTTTTGTTGCCTTTTGTGATTGAATGTTAGAATAAAGCAAAATCTGCTCTATCGTGAGTGCCTTTAGCGTTCAGAACAAACTCTCTGCAATCTAAATTTGTAATCGACTATACAACACTTTCACGCAGAACCCAAGAAGCCACCGGCCAAGGCCATAGTGTTAGAATAAAGCAAAATGTGCTCTATTGTGAGTGCCTTTAGCTCTCAGAACAAACTCTCTGCAATCTAAATTCGTAATCGATTGTACAACACTTTCACGACAATAGTTCTCCTGTGTTAGGTACACTTTGAGTGAAATTGTTCCTATTTGATTAATGTTTGGCTTGAATTGATGATTCAATCACAAAAGTGAGTTCAACGATTTTCCCTTGGAAAATCCCTTGTTTACAGAACTCGATTCGACTTCTACGAGAATTCTGTGTTGAATGCAGTACTTTGGGACATCTTGAATTATTCCCTACTGCATTGTACACAACATCAATATTCCACTTGTATTGGGTCTTTCCCTTTTCGTGTAGATGTAGATTGTCCGGCAGACTTGCGCCTGGCAGACTTGCGTCAAATCCCAACATCACGATCAAAGTCCGATCGCACATGTCGAAAACTTTGTACTTGAATAGTTTCTTTTGGAACGTAAAAACTCATATTTCGTCATATCCCAACATCGTTGGTGCAGATGGTCCTGGAACGTAGCTTCTGTTTGGTCTGACTAGTCCCGCGCTGTTTGCAATTCCCACAATTTGCGTGATGCGCTTCTCCTCCTTCTCTGCTTTTTCACGCAAACGGTGCATTCAAGACAGGTTGCTGGGGTAGTCCATGAGTAGTGGTCCTGCTGCTCCCGTCTCTAGGTGTTCAGCCACAACATCCTTGATTTCTTGTGTGAAGGCTTGGAATGCTACGCCTGCCAAGTCCAATAGGTTGGTTGGTGGGGGATTCTCGTGGTTGAACCCGTTTAGAATCGTGGCGATTCTGCCAAATAACATAGCCACGCTGTTGTACATCATCGTACATCATCGTGCGTCCTTCGTATCGGATCATGTTGAGTTTTGCCAGTTGTTGGTTTGGCGTCTCCATTCCTTGTTGTAGTCCGACGTAGGTGGCCATGAGTGCTTGTTCGAGCGCTTGGAATTTGGTCTTGGCAATCTGTTGCTTGGACCACTTTTCGTAGGCTTCGTTGTCAGGTTCTCCGTCTCTGGTTGCGGCTCTCATCAAGAACTCTCCTCCCAATGCTACCATTGCTGTGATGATTTCTTTGTGATGTGCTTGGTCCGTTACCATTTGGCGAGTGATGGATACATCCATCTGGTTCTAGACTCTTGGCCCTGGAACATAGAAAAAATTATTTCAGAAACGAAACAACACGCAATCCGGCAGAACCATCCAGTCTGCCTCGCGTAGCGCTAGTACTGAATTTACGTAGAAAACTTTCGAATTTATCACCAAGCCAACCATTCAACACCGGCGCACCATGGGCAAATCTATCAACGCGAAGGCATCCTCGGCGATG